GGTGAGTCAGCGGCGCAGATACGTTCACCTTCTTCCTCCGTCCAACTTGTGCACGCTCTCCAAGTTATCACCCGGTGATATTGAACGCGAGACGCGACGCGAACAATCGCATGGGGCGCAACGAATAATTTCCCGATGAAATTAAAATCGTAGCCGTGCAGGTCTCGAGTCCTCCTACCCGTCAACGGGGATTCAAGTTTCAAAGCGTTAAATGACCCGACGCGGCTGAATTATTTCGCCCTGGCCGTGTTCAGTTCGCCTTTAGCAGATGAATCGATGCACTCGACTGTATATCGGGTGCATCCAGTCGCCGAGGTAGCCGGCCGCGCGCTGTCGTAACGGATCGCCTCGATCGTTTTGTAAAGTCTGTCGTTATCGCTCGACGAGCCCGGGCGAAACCTGACGACGGAAATAAATCTCGAAAGGCGCGCTTAAGGAGCGATCGACCGGCGCGCGCGTCGGATCACCTCGTCCATAAACATTAGATAGCGGAAGTGTTGGAAGGGATCGGGGACTGAGGGCGCGGAGATAAAGAGGAGGACCTCGTCGGGAACGTAAAGGGTGCGCTTGCGCGCGCGAGAAATACCGACGAAGGATGGAATTCCGGCGACCTTATCGCGCGCTGCTTAACCTTTCTTCGCGTTTCCTCTCGAGAAGATCGAAGGAAGGCGATCGGCGAGAAATGAGAGAGGGAGAGAGAGAGAGAGAGAGAGAGAGAGAGAGGTGGAAAGAGCGGATAGTCGTTCGTGATGTTATCGCAAAGTCGTGGAAATCCGGCTTAATCCGCGAACAGTTGCGTCGGGAACCGACATGGCGCAAAGTTGAGGCTTGAGACGGGCTCCAATGTAATGAGGCCACGAATTCGCCTCTTGGCAAATGAGTCTTGGAAGAAACGCTCTCCCCACGCTCTCTTTCCTCGTCTCTAACCTTCGGTATAGCGATCGCAAATTTGTCCGCGCGAGCGAGCGATAAGAGATCTGCGTTGGAGTGGCGGAACCTCGTGATAGGAGGCTTAGCTTGTGTCATCACGTAAACAGAATGTGATTTATGAGTGCTGTGTTGTGCATTAATTAATAATAGACGTTGGATTGCATCGATGTTTGCTTTCGCGCGACTCGGGGCAATCGTACTCTGCGATAGAAGGGTGTGCCGTTCGAGGCATAAATTTCGGCGAATTCGTGAGGCACAAATGGAAATTCTTCAATGACCCATGAATGCCTTCATATCCGCTTATTCGATCGCGCACTCGTGTGCGCTTTATTAATCTGTAGTTAGTGACGGGAAAATCAAATTGTGGCAGGGTATTAACAAAGCCTTATTGATCGCTTACATTCCAATGGACGGCACTTGGGAGAATTTTATTTCGGAGTTTAATTACAGAGAGATATTTAATCCCTCGAATATTGAAAAGCTGTAATATTAACCACCGTCGCGCGCTCAAATTTTCCTCTTCTGAGAAAAATTGACGTATCGCGTGCAATACGGTCGATCATGAGAGAGAGAGGGAGAGAGAGAGAG